TGTTACCCTCTGTACTGAAAAATAGATTTGATATATACTGTAGTAACAAGTAGTCATTCTGTATAGAATGAAATATTTATCGCTCTAATGCAGGAATACGGGCATAGTATGACAGCAGAGGCCCTGAAATCAATGAGGTGTATGAAGACATTCTTATCAACCTCTCAATTTGTATGCAAACATACAAGAGTGGCTGTAGAAGCTTTGTAGAAACTGGAGTGCTACACAGTATTTGTGCCCTGTATTTTGAATCTATCAAGAAAAAGTAAAAGCAGACTTCACTGAGACAACCAGTCAAACAGTTCTGGCTGCACACTTTGCAGTTCTGCAAGTCACTGTTGGTATAGTTACAGATCAACTATTTCATGTGGAGTTTGAGAGCTACGATGGAACCTGCACTTTGAAGTGATATTAATCTTTCTTTGACACTAGTTGCAAGAATAAGGCTGAGTCCCCTGGTGTTGGATATGGTTTGATACAGACAATTCTACTTGTGATGAAGGTATATTTGAGAACTAACTACATGGTTTATTTTCTCTTGAGGGACTCATGCTCTTCCATAGAGGAAATATATTTACTCATCAACCAGTTGATAGAATCTACTCTGCACAATGATCCACAAACTGAGAAGTCCTACTTTGAAGGATGCAATTGCAGAAACAGCAAAGTCAGCACTGATACCATCCTAAAGAACAGCTAATGCTGAACAAGTCAACGTTTTTGATATTTTGAGAAAATCTACGTATCAACATACAATTGGAATGCAATGAAATTTATGTATAGCTTTGAATGTCTTTCGTTTCTTGTGCCAAACACTTAGTATACAAATATTGAAGTCACTAGACACTTTTAACACTGAAGTCAGAGTAATGATGTCACCAAATCCTATATGATGAATTAACTCTGGTTTAAAGGCAATAAATGTCCTGTACTAGGCAGCCTTTGATTAAACCAAGTCTCTTTTGATGACTTTTGAAATAAGGCAGAAAATATAGGAATTAAAAAAAAAAAAAAGGATGAGAGTGAAAGAATTAATTTTGACAAGTACCAGATTTGCAATTCTGGAGAACTAAAATGATATTTCTGTGGATGTTATCATTCTAAAAGCTATTTGCTTGTTATACATTCTTCTTTCTGAAGGAAAACAAAGAATGACCCTCTCCCAGCTATTTTTTGTCACCTATAATTATTTCTCATATAGCTATAGACATCATTCCAGAAGGCAGAAGGGACAGAAAGAGAGGAAAATGCAGATTGCAATTGTCAGATCTTGTGGTGTCAAACAGCTTGCTGAAAGTAAAATGTCAATTTCTTCTGGAATAGCAGTGTATAACTGAGTGTACAGGCTCTTCGTTTCAACATAAGGCAGCATGTCTGAAATTTCATGGCCCAATGATCTAGAATGAAGTTGTACTTGCATATGAAGTATTGATTGTATTTAGTGGAAAAAGACACCAAGTGTCTTACATAGAAGTATAACACACAATAAGGCATTGGTCCTGAACATGATCCCCTGTGGGTACAAAAAAAACTTGGACCTCAGCTTATGTAGAGGTGTATTTTATGCGTTCATCTGAAAGGCCGTTGACCTTTGCTTTAAGATTTGAAACACAGCACCTTAGCATTAGGCATGGAACCTGAGAACTGACTTTGAAAAATAGTCAAAAGCAGCGTGTAGTTCTTCTCCCGCAACATATTGAGTGAATGGTAATTTGCTTTGATTGACACTTCACTGTTAAAATGTAGCACTTTATTATAAAGAGAAAGTGCTACAGTAAATGGCTTCTTGCTCCTGTGCTGCAAGACATGCCTAAACACACAGATGCTGGTACAAAAATTTTTATTCAAAAAAAGGCTTGGAGGAAAAGCAACTAGAGCACAACTGTATTGGGAAAGAAAGGCAAAAGGCACCACTGTTAGTACAAACTCTGAATTTTGTTTAAAAAGTAAATAAATTATTAGAACTCGCTGCTGAGGCTTCTCAGTGTGCCGGGACAATGCCTTCCTTAGTCTGATATCGGAATTCCAGTTGCTACAGTCTGAATAATGTACAGAATATATAGAGAGTACTAAAAGTCTTTCCTGTGTTTCATTAAAGACAGAAAAAAAATAATAAAATTTAAAAAAAAAATAACCGAGGAAAGCATTTTTTTCCCTTTAGTGAAGAGATTGTTTTCTTTAAAAAAGTCTTTTCTGACAGCCTCTCAAATTGTATTAAAAGTTCTGGCTGTTCTTTCTGGGGGAAAAAAGCTTCAGTTGCGGTTATTTGGAGTTGCTGCTGTTGTAATCTGAAGGGTTTAAGAGTCAGGAAATTGAATTGTACAGTCTTTCTGTAGTGCTATCTCTAACATGCAACTTCATTAATGAAAGAATGTGACCCCATTATACAGTGTTGTTTAATCTGTGAATTGTGCAACCACTTTTGGTGGCCATTTAAACCTCTGCTTCTGGTGGCCTTTCTGGTCCTATCCATACAAGAGAGTTCCAAAATGTTAGGTTGCTCTTGGAGATTCATTTAAGTGCATGAGTATACAGTATTTTGTAGACAAGGTAAAACATGCCATGCTACCTTGGGCCTATCGTCATGCTAATACAGCTACTGGTTACCTCACTCAGGGCTTGCTTATGAAGATCTACTGGAGACAACAGAAAACACCTAGAGGCATATTAAAAAAAAAAAAAAAAAACCAACAAACCCAAACAAACAAACAAACAAAAAACCCACAAAAACCCACAAACCAAATCAAAAACATGATCAATAATGATAACAGCAGGGTCTTGAAATCCCACACTGCAGCTTTTCTTCCACATTTAGCCTCTTTCTGGTCTCATTTTATCAGGATGATAATCTAACAGCATCTTTGTGTATCTTAATTGCTCCAAGAAAGAGTAGTATTGCTGCTGTCATAATAATGCTCACCTTTCCTGTTTATGGATGAAGATAAGTACTTTCCAAAAAAATGTGAGCCTGCTAACCCATACCATCCAAAAGTAAACTCATCTATTTTAAGTGGGCACTTGCATATTTTTTTATAAATTTAAATAAACCAGTTTATCATTCAACGTGTCACTAATTTGCTGCTTTCATAAGTAACTGTAAACGACAGGCTGAGTTGGACTTCTATTACTTTGGACAACTGTATCTGCCCCTGGCCACTGCTGATTTGATGCCACTAACAGAGAGCTTCATGGGGTGGGTAATGAATGGTGTACAAAACATCAGGGTATTCTGCAAAGCTAGATTTCTTGTTTTTTTCAAACTTATATTTCTTACCAACCCAATAAATTTTAATCGGGAATTTGAAATTTTGTCTTTATGAAGCTACCACACATATATACAAATACAGTCACTTCCAACTGGATAAAAGAGGAGAAAAAAAATCACTGGAAGGTTAATTAAGGAAAAGTTTGTCTGTGGAGGCTCTAGAATCTTAACCCCAAAGGCCTTTTGAGACCAGGCTGGAGAAAGTCACGAGTGATGTGGTTGGAATTCAGTGTCAACCCTGCTTTGAGTAGGAGACTGGACTAGAGATCTCCACAAGAGGATCTCCTTCCTTTCTGACCTGAATGAATCTGTAGTTCTGGCTCTCACCAGTATTACTAAAACACTTGCATTGAAATTTCTCTCTGTATAAGCAAATAACTCCTAAACCTAGAATTTCAACACAAACCCATGATGCATTTGTGTTAAGGAATGCTATTGTGCCAATATCTACAAATTTAACATCTCGGAAAGTAAAAAAATATAACATATTAGTCATCAATTTTGAATATAGGGATGAGGGGGAGAGGAAATGAATTTTTTTTGTTTCTTTCTAAATCTTAGAAAAAAAACCCTGCACATTTTTATCACCTTGACTTGGATGACTCTGTTAAACCTCTGCTCTAGAAATGTTCAGCTTCAGGGGCCTGTCACCTGTCAGGGTGAACAGACTCTAAAACAGTTTTTCTCTTTCTTTGAGGGGGATTCTGTGTTAACAGGGACAGGTGGGCTGAACAGCCATGAGATATTAGAGCTGTTTCCAGAGAAATTGTTTTTGTCACTTCAGTGTTCAATGTCACTAGAAAATATATATTGTTATCAGCCTACCCCGACTGGAACTGAGAACAGTTTTTCTTAGTTCTGAGAGGAAAACATATTTTAAGTTATATCACTATTTCACCATCTGGTGACTGATGTGCAAATTAATAATTGGAATGTACTAGAGATCTACAAGGGAAACAGGGAAGTTTGGTTTGCCTACAAGTTTCACAGACCTGCTGCATAAAAAGTTCTCCTATGTCAGTACCCTGGAGTGAACTAAAAGTCAGGCCAATTTAAACAGGATGCAGCAGCACAGACACCACAGACTTACTTTTGCAATCTTGATGCTCCTATCTGCTATAATTGCATGTTGACCAGCATATCCCAGAAAGTTTTCCGGACTTTATATAAACCACAAGCCACACACAGAACTTACTTAGGCCAGCCAGTATTACTTTTAAAGCTCCAACAGCCTCAGAAAAATCAGTACTGCTAGTGTCATCAAGAGAGAAAGTATGCTACCACTTTGCATGCTGTGCCAATTTTTCCACCTGTTTCCAAGTTCATAAATATTTCCTAGCTTACATGAATGACAGCAACAAAAATGCAGTAATGGATCCTGTAAGAAATTTCTGCTAAATTTCTGCTTTTCTCCTAGATCCCTTTTGAACATCCTGTGTTTCCCCAGTCGTTTTTCTCAACTTCTTCCCAAACCCATCTGGATGAACTTGGACTGTCATCTTATCTACTCAGTGAGACCACTGTGACCACCCACAACGGCCAGATCTTTTGGCAGACTACCAGTGTTCAGTCACAAAACAAGCATGGCCTAAGACCCTTCAGGTGCCCTGCACGTACAGTGCCAGTTCCATCATGACTCTTCAAGGAAAAGAAGTGGCCTTGAGGGCGTTGTGGACCGAAGCCCTTATTTTTCCTATTTGAAAGATACAATAAACAATCATTCTCTATTCACCAGGTACACCACAGAGCCTACAAAAAATGTTTTCTCTGTGGCTGGCTTCAGTGCATCCCAGACACCAGCCCCGGGGCATGGGTCTCCCCCACTGCTCTTACTGCATGGTGGCATTGGGCGCTATGGCTCAGTCGCACACAGCGCTAGCAGTGATCTAAGCAGCTGGTGCTTCTGCCAGCTGGCAAACCAGATCATTAGGTATGGTAAGACCTGAGATTTCATCAGTCAAGTTCAGGGCATTATTCCCCACCCCCCCCCCCCCTGTCTTTTGAGATCTGCCCTCAGAGAAAAAAGCTGGCTCTGGCTCAGTCTGCGTGGGGTCAGTAGGAGCTGGCTGGTAACTGCCGCTGCACTCGCTGCTCAGGCTGCAGAATCCCCTCCCATAATTACAACCTGTAATTATGGCTGTGCTTCACCCATGCTGTTTGCCTTGGCCAGGCGCTTGACAGCTGCTATCCTGGAGCAGCATATTAATGTCTATGCCAGAAAGATCTTAATACCTTGCTGTTCAGGCAAAATGGCAGGTGGAAAAGAACGGTTCTCTTCAGGTAAAGGCTAATGAGAACGGTATTTTGAAAGCCATACCACTTCTTACAATTTAGTCTGAAGACAAGCTCTTAACTGTTAAGGGAGTAGAAGAAGGGAAGGGTCAGCTCTCCCTTTGGAGTGTTATTTAAGATTTGACTAAGGCAGATTTTGAATACCATCTGTCAAAGGCATCACCTGACAGAGACACAGCCCTAAAGAAGGGCTCACGGGCAGCCCACCACAGCCCTTATGAAAAGCCCGGCAGCAGCCAGACCGG